CCTTCCTTCCTTCCTTCCTTCCTTCCTTCCTTCCTTCATCAGAGTTTTACTTTTGGATAGCCTACAATTACTGTTTCATTGCCTCTCTGCTTACAAAAGAGCTCTCAGCAAAGGTTCAACAATTGGAGCATCTTCTGTCGGTTCATGGCAAGTTGACTGTAAAATGTAGTCAGTATATATTTTATAGTTTTGCATAATATTTAAATGGTGTTTCAGTCTGATCCTTTGAGTGCTGTTAACCAGCACACAGAGTAATTTTGTAGGTTTTATGAAGACCAACTTGATGTTGTCCAGAGGCAACTGTGGTTTGTGCTTAAATCCCACTAATGGCATGATTGCTGTTAAAAGTAATGTTGCAAAATTACTCATCTCATTATGCTACACAGACTGATTGCCGTAGAAAAGCAGCCAAAAAATTTAATCTGACCATGAATCTGTGAATTTTCCCCTAGGAGAGAGACTGTGCTATAGGCACGTAATCGAATGTATTAACTTTTTAGATAAAAAATCTCTTTGTCTCTGTTTGTATGGAATGAACGCTTTGGTACTGTTGGTCCCACAAAAAACACATTATGATTCGCTCACTTGTGCAATATCCTTTCCTTTTCCTAGATCCAATCATTAGGGTATCCCTCTTTATGTCAACATTTTCTAATTCATTCTAGTAGACCCAAAATGTATTCCCAGGCCAGAGAGCAAAATACAGTCCTTCAGTGAGTTCTGGGTCTGCCTTAGGGACTCCTCCCATTAGGACTAGGGAACCTCTAAAGGGAGGCTCCCACGTTGCTTCTCTGTTAGAGGCAAGTAACCATTTCCGCTGATGTTTACGGAAAAAAAAGGCTCTTTCTCTACCACAACAGATTAGAGAAATATGTGTATCATTACTCATAAAACCCGTTCATCCCTCTCACACTCTTCCCACATTTCCAGCATTAGTTCTGTACAACAAATTTGAACTCTTCCCTTTGAGGCAGAGATATGCCACCTACCCAGACAAAACAATCATGGCTTTAGACTTAAAATGACTGATTTGATATCCCAGCTGTTTCACAGCTACCTGAAAAACATTCCAGTGGGTTCTAAAGGTCATTGCTGAAAGATTTAAACAGTCACATCATCTGCAAAAGACAAACCAGATTATCATCTCTCTACAACTATGAGACCCGGTATATTCCAACCACAAGCAGAAACAGCCGTGATGGAATCCAATCCACACTGGGATCAAACTTGACTTTTTGCCAAGAATGCAAACACAGCTGTTGCTTTGGGTTTACAATAACCAGTTAGCTTTTAAAACATTGTAGAGCCCCTAAATCCTGTAGTACCCCAACAAAATAGGCCTTCTCCAGATCTATAGCCCTCATGAAGATCAGACTATCAAAATAATGGATGTACCTCATGAGCATACCCTATAATATTGTCCAAATAGAATACAAAAGTTGAAAGGAGTTAGAAACTGTCAAACATTTTTAGTTTGAGTTGTTTTTTTCCTTCCCGGTACCAGAAAAAAGCACAAATCTACGCCAGTTGTAGGAAGTAGGTCATAGCAAAGAACTAACTCCCAAATATGGCAATCTCTTCTCTCCTGTTATGCTGTTTTCTTTGATTATTTTTATTCTTCTACTTAACTGCCCCAAATTTTCACATGTCAACGACGCACATGAGAACATCTGGACTGAATCTGCACTGGCCAACAGCCGTGGTTTTCTGCATTTTAGTCTTGGAATGATTTGTCTAAAGCACTCAAGGTCTTCACTTGGCACCAACTTTTATGGCCGTATATAGTTCGTCAGAGGATTTTCAGGGCTGGACGTGGTCACACTGTCCATATTCTGGGCATTCCAGCATCCAGTTTAGTGTTTTGGGGACCTTTTGGTGCCAGGCAGATGTGCAGTTCATTACGATGCCCAGCACTGAAAATGTCCTGTGATTATGGGGTTCAGGTCCAAATGGACACTGTCTGCGATCGGGGTTAAAACTGTAGGATGCAGAAATAGGTCATCTGGAAACAGCTCTGGCATGGAAATGTTCTAGGTTGGGACGGTTACCTCATAGAAGACAGTGTGCTCTAAACACTGTTGCTCAGTGGGACGATTTAAAGACTGGGTGGTGAAATGCAATGCTGAGCAGTACAGAGTCGTTCCAAAGTCTGTAGAGCACAGCTCCTGACACAACAGCCATAAAACAGACTGAATCATGATTTAACATTCTCCCTTTTTTGAACGGCACCACTTTTCTTGAGTTGTAATACAATTGTATTCAGATGTGTTATGTCTTTCAGTGTGATATCACTTCAAAGCCAACCTCAGCTGCAGTTACTCTGAGTTTAAACTTGATGGGTTTGTCTACCCCTCACAAATTAAGAGTTTAAATTATTTTAATTAAAACAAGAGGTTTGTTCCTGACAGGAAATTTGAAACTGGGAATTTCACAGTTTATCTTTGATAAACCGTAATCTTCTCTCCCAGCTTCAGGCTGAGCTACTCCAAGCAGTTAAAATCAGTTCCAATCAATCAAAACAGGCTGATAAATTTAACGGTTACTGCAAACCTAAATTTCTTAGGGGTATGAATAATTATGGGCTTAACTGCAAGAATACTTTTATTGTGTATCTCCAAAAAAGCACTTTCATGTTTTACATCTTTGGTTTGTTCCACTTCACTGCAAATCTTTCAAGGGTATTAAATAACGGTGAGTAATCCAATATGGCACCGGCCATTATGCTCCAAGATCAGTTTGATATTCTGTCCTCTATACTTTTTTTCTATCTAGTGAGCTTTTCATGGTTTGGGCTCAAAGCATTTGGTCCGGATTGGTTTCAAACATGGATTAATAATGACTGGCAGCAGATTCATAAACTGTATCCTCTGGTAAACCATAGCTTTTTTATTCCTATTTTGTTTCTTCCAATTGAATTCAAGTTTTAAAGCTCCAACTTTTTAAAATTGTGACAGGGACAGCCTTTTTAAAAATCCAATGTTTATACCTTAATTGCAGAGCAACCATCTGACAAATCGTGTTGATGTTTCTTTGGAAGCGTATTTCTTTCAACTGGGCCAAGCACCGTATTTCTTTTTCGTTCCAGCATTGCTTCTTGTGCCACATTTTCTGGTGCAGTTGGAGGGAAAATAATAATAACTCACAGGGTTCCACTTATGAAATTGCTCAATAAGTTCTGATTGTTTACAACACGTTTCCACTGTGTCTACGTGGCTGAAAAAATCTGTTATTTCAAGGGATTCTCTCACTCAGCTCCTGTTTTCCCTCGGCCCTTCTCAGATGTGTTGTTGTTTTAATACAGGATCTTTGCGGAGCCTCGTCTTGTGACACTCTTGGCATGGCAGACGTTGGCACCATGTGCGACCCGAAGAGGAGCTGCTCCGTTATTGAGGACGACGGCCTACCCTCAGCCTTCACCACTGCTCACGAGCTTGGTATGACCAGTTCTGACATGGTTTCATCTGAAGCACAATTGTACTGACAGAAAGATCTTTTTATCTGTCAAAAGGTATTGATGCCTGTTTAATTTGAACTATATTGTGATCCTTATATTTATTGTAATTTTATTTGATTGACAAGCAGGAAGTGGTGCATAACTGTGCTATTAAATAAAAAATATCACTGATATAGAAATATTATTGTTCAAATAAAAAACATTAAAAATTAGGATGCACTGGAATTTATTCCTATTTACTGCTTATGGATTGAATTTTGTTACAGTATTGTTGCAAACAAGGAACATGTAATGTAAATAGATATATTTTAAAAAGGCGATTTAGAACTAAGCCTAAAAAAACTTCTTAATCAAGATATTTTTTTAACATATTGTATTTACAAATTATACAGATTTTCAAATGTAATTTTTACAAATTCTGCTATTCAAATTAAGTTTTATGAATTGCATTCTCTTCAAATCGCGTATCACAGACGGCATTCTCTTAACTTAAAGCCCAAAACAAACCCGCACGCTGACCAATAAAAATGTTGTTGCTAACCCAAGATGACCAATAGAAATGCAACTTTGCTGCTAACTCCAGAGGAAATCCACCCCCAGAAGTGAATATTAGATATACCATTAAATTGTAAAATGCACAATTCCAAGATTAAAAATCCCATTAAATAGCTAAAACAAAATGAAAATGAATTAAATCATAATAATTGCTTTACTTTAAATATATGGATGAATATAGAGCAAAATAATTAAGTGATTATGTATTTTTAGGGGTCACTGACAGACTTCGATTAAAAGCTTCGACATGTTCTGTTTCAGAGCGTCGTCAACCAGGTCGGTCATGATGTGGGGCTTCAGCTCTGTGACAATGACTGCAGCTCTGCGTTATTCGCATTTAAGTAAAGCATAAGTGAACATTTCGTTTGACTTTTTTATTTTTAATTTGACTAATTCAAATGTGGGACGTTGTTTCGAATTGTGGGAAAGAAAAGCATGGAAAAGCATTGACCTCCGGCCAAGCAGGGAATCTGGTCACCCTATCAGGAAGTGGCCAGTGTTTTAACACAGAGCAAAAGTATGAAACTAAAAGCATATTTAATAGCTAATGGTTTGATATTTCAGCAAAACCAAACACCATTTTTCGTCTTCAGAGACCGTAGATACGGCAGATCAAAACTCTGATCTTGACTTAATACAACTACTGCTAAAAGTGTACAAGTGTATAACAAGCACAAATCGTCATGGGAATTACATTTAGCATTATGTCTTCAGTACAGGGGCACAGGCCCCTTTCTAAAACGGCCCATGCTGTTCATATTTCTAAGCAGCAGGGGCTATAGGTTGAGCTAAGTAGAGGGCAGAAGAAAACCACTTAAAAGCTGCATAGGAATAAAAACTGGCTAACATTTAAGAAGAGCAGCAATCCTTTACATCCACAGCTTCCACTTCACCTTGTTGCTCTGCTTTGTGCAGCTCCTCCTTTTAAAATCCGTAATTAAATACCTTCAAATTTTAAGTCATAGCATGACAACATTTTACAACCTCCAAAAGGGATGAATGTCTTTGAAACGCACATTATATGGTATATAATAGATACTTGGTTTGTGTTCGGCAGGACATGTGTTTAACATGCCCCATGATAATGTGAGGGCCTGTGAGGATGTGTTTGGAAAGCTGCAGGAAAACCACATGATGTCCCCCACGCTTATCCAGATCAATCGAACCAGTCCCTGGTCTCCTTGCAGCGCCGCCATCATCACCGAGTTCCTGGACAGCGGACATGGTGAGGATGTTAATTTGAAATATCTTAAAATGTTTATAGATTTCAGTAGAAAGGTATCAGGATTTTACTTTATTTCGGAGTATTATAATGCTTTTCATTGCTTATAATGCTTATGCTTATAATTCAAGAGTTTCTAATTACATTTACATGTGATGATGAGGAGGAATATGAGTAACCAAACACCTTCTATTGCAGAGCTCAGAGTAAAGACTGGCAAAAAGGAAAAAAAAAAAAAAAATTCATACATTTGGGATGCAGATTGTTTGCCAAACAATTCTGACCACAGGACCTAGCCTTCGAGCAGCGCTTAAATTTTATTTTAAAACTGCACCCATATGTGTCCCAAATTACAGGGTTTGGTCTTGGGAGAGTCACCAATGTGGGTTGGAGAAGAGATGGGTCTGCCCTATGCTTCCCATGCAGGTTCACCACAAATAGGCAAACATCTTGTGCTTTTCTCCACCTCAATTTTTAAAGAAGGAAAAAAACAGAATACAAACTATTGAAGGAGAATAAAAGGGGATTCTTAACAATCATAATAATATTTTCTTGGGTTGGAGGGCTTTCTCATTCAGACTTATTGCCATCATTTTGAGGGAGCCTTTATGCTCTGCTGTTTCCAGAATAATTTGTAACCATCTATCTACACACAGCCTCCTTAGCTATTGTTTTCCATGACTCCTCCTCAGAGGGAGACTAGGAAGGAAGAGGAGCGGTTCAGTTTACTGGCTGTAGAGGGTGTGTATATGTAGCAGCTTGCTATCAGCTCATTTGTCTGGGTTTTCTGCCAATTATTCTGTGAAATGGAATAAAACAAATATACTGCCAACTGGTTATTATCCCTTAAGCCTTATAATTTGTTAAGAACTCCACAAAAACACAACAACAGTTCCGAGTTAGAGACCCTGTTTTTCCCCTCTGTTTATAACCGCTTTTGGATGAGAAGCCTACCCACAAAGAGCAGTGGTGGAAGTTTCTAAGGGATTAAAACCAACTTCTTAAAGTATAGCCTTTTTGTGTGTGTGCCTTTTTATGTAGTGGTAACATCTTTGCACAATTTACATGTTGCCTTTAATTTTAAATTCTAATCGTATAAGAAAACCTAACAATTTTTGGGGATAATTTTCCTGCATGTCGCGCAACAAGGGTGGGCTGGTGGGTTTCTGAATAGGTTGGAGTCAGGGTGTCTGTAGTAAGTGGGGGTCTAAAGCATTTCTGTGTGGACATGCTGAGAGTGACCTTCCATGAGAAAGCAAAAATAAAAATAAAATAAAGCAAATGGATATTCATGTGTGCATGGGGAAATCCCATCTAGTGGCGTTTCCACAGGGCTGACCCAAGGCAACAAGGTAACAAGGGGGATCTCGAAGAACAATTAATTGTTCAATTTAATTTAAAATAATGTAGTTTTTTACATCAGTGTATCTTAAATCAGGTATAAATTATTACCTATATAAAAAAAGATTGGTCTGGGCCCAGATTGACACACAGACTAAAAAGGGCAAGATTAAACGTCTCTGAGACAAACGTGTATTTGGAGAACAGTCTCATCCTAAAGCACAGAAAACCTAATTTTAACCTTTTCCTTCTCTCAAAACGAGATCTGAGATCTACCCAAGTCTTTATGGTGTTCTGAGGATGGCCTGCATTCTCCGTTTGATTGTAGCATCTGCAGAGCAGAGCTATTCTACACTCTGTATAAATAACTACCTGTGGAAGAAGGATGGAGTGGGCTGGCAGTAATTGGTATTTACAACAAAAATGGCCGACAAATTTCAATCAGTGATGTCAGCAGTTATGGAAGAAAAACAGTCTCATTGGAATCTGCCTTTTTTTGTACACCAAATTTTAAACACTGAATTTTTTTAATACCGTATTTTAACGCTGATTCTTTTTAACTCCAAATTTTAAACACTTTGTTTTTTTTTATACATCAAATTCCTTACACAAAATTTTTATCAGGTGAAAATTCTGCTGCAAAAAAAATCCCCTGCAGAAATATTCCCATCCAAAATATTCAGCTGGACAAAAATCAGCTGCAAAGAATTTGCCTGCAAAAGATTTACCTGCAAATGTGTTGACCTTTTGGTAAAATCAAGCCAGAGCAATCTACACTAGATGAAGTCGAGCAGCTTCTAGCCAATGAAATTAGCTCATCACATTTGCAGGCACATTTTTTGCAGCCGAATTTTATGCAGCTAAATTGTTTGCAGGCAGATTTTGACCTTATAAAAATTCAGTGTAAAGAATTCAATGTGTAAAAAAATGTAGTGTTTAAAATTCAGTGTTAAAAAAATTCAGTGTTTAAAATACGATTTACAAAAAAAAAAAGGCAGATTCCAATGAGACTGATTTAATTCCATAAGCAGTGACTGTGCAAACAGAAAAGCTGGTAATGCATAGATTTTAACCTACTTCTTAAAATTTACATCTTAATTTCTAGGTTTGAGATAACAGATATTTTTAAGAGGAAATTTGACATTAAGTTGACAAGAAATGTTGCATTCAATTAATTATGTTGACTCCACCATGCAGTTTTCTAACCATGTTGTGAACATTTACCAAAATTGGTAACCCTTTGTCTTAGCTGATTTGATGTTTCTAAAACTGTTTTACATACCCTTACTTACTGCTAAGCTCTTTGTCTTCCAGGGGATTGTTTGCTCGATCAGCCTCAGAAAACATTGGCTCTTCCAGATGTGCAGCCCGGATCCTCCTACGACCTCAATCGTCAGTGTGAGCTCGCCTTCGGTGAAAGCTCTAAGCCATGCCCATTCCTGCAGCCACCATGTAGCCGGTTGTGGTGTACAGGGAAGTCCAACGGTCATCTGGTGTGTATGACTCGGCATTTCCCCTGGGCAGATGGGACACGTTGTGGTGATGGGCAGGTCTGCGACCGAGGGGTCTGCTCTGACAAACAGCTCCAGACTGTGAAGGTACGACTGAAGGAAAGACCTCCTTACTACCATCAGCGAATATTATTAATGGGCATTGTTCTTTCAGTTGGACGGACGTTGGGGTAAGTGGGGTCCATTCGGTTCCTGTTCCCGCTCATGTGGAGGCGGCGTTCAGCTCTCTAAACGGGACTGTGACAACCCAGCTCCATCAAACGGAGGCAAATACTGCCACGGAGTTCGGGTCAAATATCGTTCCTGCAGCCTGAACCCCTGCCCTAAAACAGGTGGGAATCAGTAAGAGAAAACTTCAATAGAAACTATGGCGTGAATAATATTCCATTATTGTTGAAAGCAAAGAGCATGTTTTTAAAATAAAAATTTGAAAAAATTGCAACCCAGAAATTAATCTTTGAAAAACTTCTTAATTTTAAAAGTAAAATTTCCTCTTCATTTTTTTATGTATTTTTTTTTTTAGATTGATTGCTTTCTTTTATAAAAACTTCTTTTTTTCAAACTGAGCTTGAAAGATCACATTCCCTTCACTTTAAGCCCAATACAAATCCTCAGTCTTTAGGGGCACATTGACCAATCAGAATGTTGTTGCTAATGTCCATGAAGATTTTTATGCTCCTCAATCTAGAGAAAAGCCAGGAGTAGAGAGAATGTCATCAGTAAGATGAAAGTGGTATTTTGGAAGTAAAGACAAAAACAAAAAACAAAATTACTTTCAAAGCCTCAAAGACGTTTTTTAAAGTTTCATTTCTAAATTGCATTTCCAAATTTATAAAAAGTCTTGTTTCTTTTTTAATTTTTATTCACAAAACATGTACTTTGCTCGCAACAATAATGGAACAATATTCCTTCTATAGAATCCATGTCCAATCTTGCCCTGTTACACATCAGCTTATTTGATGTTTTCCTTACTCCTCCATCTCTTTGTAGATAAGACTTATCGAGAGGAGCAGTGCGAGACCTCCGGCCAGACTTTCAGTAGTAACCGTGTTGCCCACTCAGTAATCTGGGTGCCAAAGTACTCTGGAATTTCACCTAAGGACAGGTGTAAACTCATCTGCAGGGCTAACGGGACCGGCTACTTCTATGTTCTGTCTCCCAAGGTAACCAGACACCTCTACTTTTTTATTTTTATAAGCAATTAGCATAGAATTACATTAAAAGGAAAAAAAACAAAAACAATTTGAAACACGTTAGAGATATCTCCAAATTTTATATGGTGTGGGTGGAAGTATCTAGCCCCACCCCTTTTGCCTTTTGACCATTAACTAAAAACCTTACCTACACCCGCACAAAGTTCAGCATAAAATGACTGAATTATTTTGCCAGGCACTGTTGTTGCAGTCTCAGTACTGAGAGGGATAGAGAGCACACAACAGTTCGTCCGTCAGGCAATGGGGTTTCCGTTGAGCAGCAGCACAGAGACACAAAGTTCACACTTCACTCCAGCTCCGAGTCTTTTAAGGAGAAAAGCTCTCATTATACATGGAGCTCTGAGTTGCAACGGGATATTCTACCCACAGAGGGATGAGATTATTGGAAATACTGCCTTTTTTCACTAGCTAATCTTAGCATTCATTGTAAATTGGAGTATTAGACTCAGCTTCAAGAATATTAGAGGTTAGAAAAAATACGTAAGGAACGGAATCGTACATCATCCTGGCAAGGCTTTATTTCCGTTTTGGAAACCAAAACAGATTCATTACATCAACAGATGGTAAGCTGTAACTCCCCCTACAGCAGCGGCGTCAACCAATGTCTCCTCAGGCTGAGATTGGAAGAGAGGCTACTAATGCAGATTTATAAGATGGGATTTTAAGGAATAAAGCCATAACTAACGACTTTGTTACAGCCACTGCACTTTATAACATATAGAGAGTCTCTGCAAACATCTTCACGGGCGTGACTGTTACAAATTTTAAAGGGGAGTTAAGACCAAAGGCAGCATCAACTCCTCTTCTAGCAATAAACCTCAGAGGATTTCAGTGTGTTTTCTATTTGAAACTGAAGTATAATAAATTCAAAATCTAAAAGGACTTTCCCTAAACCTAAGGAGCACAAATCCCTTCCCCTCTCACAGAGTAGCAGCATTTGAAATAATAATATGAAATGAACATTGCAATTTTAGAAATCCTTAAAATGAATATTTATATAAATAAATATATCATGTATAATTTTGTAAAGGGGTCCATATTTAAAGATACAGTAAATGTATGATGTGTATTATGTGTTAAGTGTTGAATTTTGACAGGGATTTGAATTTCAGTGTACGTTATTTGATATTTTCTTTTACACATATAAATGACTTTAAATCTAATGCAGTTAAAGCAAGTTTGTGCTTTAGCTTTAACAAAATGTTATATATCTCAGTATATGTTTTTATATGGTGGTCCTAATCCCAACTGCACATTTACTTGTGAATGTGTATCACCTTATCACTAAAACAAATTCCTCGTACCTCTAAAACACAACTCGACAACAATGTATTTTCTGATTTTGATTTTAAACTGATAAATAAGTTTAACTACTAAAAATATTCATTTGATCTCCTTCTATATAACTCATTTCCAAGGGCTGTTTAAAATTAAAAGGTACAACCTATCCTGGGAGCTATTTTGGGGTATATATTGATTCTTGACCTTGAACTCTGTGTGATGCAGGTTGTTGATGGGACTCCGTGCTCTCCAGACTCCACAGGCGTTTGTGTTCAAGGAAAGTGTATCAAAGCTGGATGTGATGGTGTGATTGGCTCCACAAAGAAGTTTGATAAGTGTGGAATCTGTGGTGGCGATAACAAGAACTGCAAGAAGGTGTCCGGACTCTTCACCAAACCTGTGTGAGTAAATCAGCGACATCAGCCTCTCTCACTCAGGAAGGGGTGGGTCTTCAATCCTGGCATGTTTTTAGTTGTTTCTTTGCCTCCACATTACTAAACTTTAATAAATGGGTGACTATCAGACTTTTTTTCAGCCTCTATTTAGGAGGTAGTGCAATCTGCAATTTTATTAAGGTTTTGGAGCAGAAAGACATCTTAAACATGCAGGATAGTGAATCCTGAGGGCCAGCATTGAAGACTCTACTCCTGTGTTTACTCTACTGTCACTCAGGCAAAACTTTATCCGCTGCACTCTTGATGAAATATATTTGACTATAAAATATCTTGGCATGCAGGCATGGCTACAACTTCGTTGTGATGTTGCCAGTGGGTGCGGCCAATGTGGACATCCGTCAGCGAGGCTACAAGGGAATTAGAAGTGATGACAACTATTTGGCAGTTAAGGACAGCAAGGGGCATTACCTTCTCAATGGGAATTATATTGTGTCAGCCGGTGAGAGAGATGTAATTGTGAATAACAGCCTGCTGCGCTACAGTGGCACAACTGGTCTCTCTGAGACCCTGCAGGCAGTGAAGCCCCTTGGAGAGGCGTTGACCGTTGAAGTGCTCTGTGCAGGAAAGATAACACCCCCTCGCATTCGCTACTCTTTCTACCTCCTCCGTCAGACCAAGGAGGACAAAACACTAAAGAAGGAGGAGAGTGCCAATTCTAAGAACAGCGTCCTGCCAAAAGATGAAATCCACGAGAAAGCGGAAGATCATCTAAAAAGTTCCTACAGCAAGAACAATGCTCCCATGGCAAAATGGACATCCGGAGCCTGGGAGGAGTGCTCTGTGTCCTGTGGTAGGGGTTTTCAGAGGAGAATGGTGCAATGTTTAAGAGCAGATGGGAAGCCAGGGCTAGACTGCAATTCTTCTCAAATACCGTCTGCCACCAGGGTCTGTGGAGACCAGTGCGCTGAGTGGCATATTGGGCATTGGTCGCCCTGCTCCAGAACCTGTGGGAAGGGCTTCAAAAGACGACCTCTCCACTGCAAAGACCACACTGGGATTCTGCTCCCAAGGGATCTGTGCAAGGGCTTTCGTAAACCTCAGGAGCTGGACTTCTGTAACCTAAGCCCTTGTCAGTAAATTGAAGTTACAAAATATTTTTTCTTCTATTTCAAAGGAGACCAAGTGAATCCACCATCTAGTATTACGTCATTTGTGGTGGTTTCAGTTGTTGAGTCCAGCATCAATGGACTGCTAGAAGACATTAAAGGAGAGGCTAAGAAGAAAACAAGAACATGAAAGAGCTGCAGCCAAGCGATGAATGCTGGCAGCTCATGTTCAGTGACATCAGCTAAGCTTTCAAAGAAATTATTCAGCCATAGCTGATGAAACATAAGCTCTCTATACTGCTAGTTAATACAGATGGACCATCTTTAATCAATCAGGTCAGACCTGGGAGCCTGCAATCAATTTCAGAACACAATAGTTAAGGAGTCCAGATCTAGAGTCTTAACTATATCCCCAAACATTGGTGAAGCCGAATGGATGCCAGACAAATCTGGCAAACTTTCAGTTTTACCCCCACAGTCTTTATTTAATCAGAACAGTAACATTCAGGAACAGTTGAACCAAAGCAGCATCAGATATATTTTAGCCAAAAAATAACATTTACAATCTTTTTAGGTTAGCTGAAGCAATAAAGCTGGATTAATGTCGACTATAAGTTTTCCTGGTGCGTTTTAGAATAACTTGTCAGTTTGATATTAGTTCTCTGTTGTTGCTTTACTAAGGGTTCTAGGCCAATGCACTTGCACACCAAGTTTATGTTCTTCATAGTAGATTTTTTAAAATGGATGCCTTTAAATAGAGATGCTGGTGACGTCAAATCAGTAATTCTGAGAATGATGGGTCCAAATTGGACCTGCTAGAGATTCATCGTATGAAGACCTATCAGGTTTTTGGTGTGGATGCTGTTACTAGATATTTTCAGTATAAATGTTGTCTTTAAAGTAAAGTAAAAGCAAACTGACATTTTAAGATGCCATTTGAGAGGAAATGGAGTTCATTATAACATACCAAGACATGCCTGGGATTTATTTAGATTGTAAATGGCTTGTACTTATATTGTGCTTTGGTCAAGTCAGGAGACTTTACACACTTTACACTACATAGAGCCATTCACCCATTCATGCACACACCCACACACTGATGTGTGACAAACTATATATCACTGACAGAAACAAAGGCTGCCATACACTAGCGCCGCCGGGCCTTTGGACCACCATCAGTAGGCAATGCGGGTGACGATTCTTGCCCAAGGACACAACAACACTGAAAGGCAGAGCCAGGGCTTGAACCGTTAACCCTTTGATTTCAGGGCAAACTGCTACATCCGTCGCCACTGTCATCCCATTTAGGCAGCATAAGAGCAGAAAAAATTTGGATTTAAGGCGAATATGTAGGATGAACCCTAACCCTGTTAACCAGAGTTACCGTGTTCAGACATAATGGATTTGGAAATGTTTGCTATCTTTTGTGTAAAACGGAGGTATGATAAAGATTTACACCCTCAACAATACGAAAAGCTCTTATATTAATGCTAACGGTTAGCATAAAATCCTAATTTGAGTAGATATTTGCTATTAAATAGTAAAATTTTACATGATTGCTCTTTCACAGTTTTGGTCAAATCTTCCACTTGTGAAAAATTAATGAACAATCAGTGCAGGAATAATGGAAAATGGAAATAATGAAAAAATCACCAGGTTACCTTCTTATAACCTGGTGAACCACCTAATAATGTGCAGCAACCAAGCTTACGGTAGTTAGTTTTAGAGTCTATTTGGGGGATAGGAGGGAAGTTCAGCAGAGCCTTTTGAGCTGATTGCGGTAAAGCGACACCCAGGGCCTGCCTACTAAAGATTGGTTTTAGTCAATCACAGTAAATAATGAAATAGCAGCAGCTGCCATAAGAAACCAGAACTTACATTTTTATGGTTTTGCTGTTTAAATTTCAAAATGGAAATTGTGGATTCTGTCAAACAAATGCGATAGCAGCAGCAGCTATGTGTACATCCTTCGCTGCCATGCTTGTTTTGGCCAGTTGTGGACTTTGCAGCTTTGGCTGCAGCTATATGCCCCGCTTCCCGCATAACTGTCTCCTACAATTTAAGCTGTAACGGTAAGATGGATTCTCGTGGTGCTTGTGAACGCACAAACACTACGAGAATTCTGCTTGCAGGCAAGGTTAATCATCTTATAGTTTGTAAGGAAAGCAGGGCTAAAACTTTGACTTGGTTTTAAGTTTGCAAAAAAAAAAAAAACTTAATTCATAGTGCTGCATCTTTGTATCCTCATTAATCTGCGCTGTTGCAACACCAACCACCTTTGGGTCATTTACCTTCTGCACTCAGTCCTAAACTATTTTTCTCTGGATCTTTTCTCTGTCTTTCTTATCTGATTTTGTTGGCTAGATGCCATTTTAGAAAAGGATATCTGACCATTAAAACAACTCTCTAAAGAACATATAGATGATACAAATGAATCAAAAAATACATATTAAACCTCATGACCATTTAAAAACTGTGAAGTGCACTAATGTCATTAACATGATAAATATATATTTTTGTTTAATGTGCAAAGAAGTTGTATGAAAAATATGGATTTGGTGTGCAAAGGCTTTTAATCTGAGTTTACTTTACCAGAGTGAGTCCCCTCCCTCCTTTCAGTTTCCTGCATGTTTCATTGTGGCCCTTGTTTGACCTTCACTTATCTTTACATTTTGTCGTCATCAGTCATTCCTTAAGCCTGTTACCTCAAGCCTGTCTGGAACAGTTACCGCAAATAATTTAATGTCAATGAGAAAATAAAGAACACAGAAGGAATGTTGTTATCCTAGTATATCTTTATTCCCCGCCCTTCAGTCTGAACTAACTTGTTCTCCCAGAAGACTTGATATAATCCAGCAATTTATTTTCTTTTTTTAAGACATCAGATTAAACCATCCAATAATATAAGATCCATCTTGTCACAAACCGCTTGATGTTGTTTTTTTATATTAACTGGAAGGTAGGTTCTTTCTTCTATGTTTTAACCAGCTTTTGCATGTTGTACAGCAAAAGAAAACAATGACTTACATGAGCTGTACTGTATACTATGTATACATTTACTCAGCTCTGTGCAAAAAACAGGTATTTTTTCACATGCGTTTGTAATTTTCTTTGACTTCTGCATATTTATTCCAAAATAAAGCAATTAATTGAAATATTTTGCATTGTCATTTTTCCCTTCTGTAATGATTGGGTTAGGGCTGAAACAATTCATTTGATTAATCGATTATTGAAATAACAGTCAACTATTTTAGTACCGGTAATCGATTATTGGTTAACCTTAGTATAGACACTTAAACATGCCTTTAGCTAACAGGGAAAACAACTTATGGCTGTAATTAAAAATAAATTGTAAAAACGTTATATCAAAGTATTGCAATTAAGATGGAACATTTTTCTGTCTTTAAGTATGCTCTATCCAAACCTCTATCCAAAGTTTTAGTTTCACCTGGTTCAAGTTTTGTAAAAAAAAAATCTCTTATAAGAAACCTTTTCTAATCCAATCATTAATCAGTTAATACAAAAAAATATTCAGCAGATTAGTCAATTAGCAAACGATCTTTAGTTGCAGCCATAAACTGGATTATACAGGAAAGGCGCAATGAGCTGCCACTCACATGTAGCAATCTTTTTAACATTGTCAACTACTTTTAAGTAATGGCTGCTAAACTGTAATACATATAGGAACAAATGATTTCAAATATTATTTATACAATGTAAAAAAAAAAATACATCAAGTGATTAAAAAACTTAAAGATATGTAAATATAATATTATGGCCACTGAAGCTCCTTATGTTGTAACTACAAAGCATAAGTACATCCTTAAAATACTATGGCAACAAAGTAACACATAATGTAACTAGAAAACATTTTAAGAACCTCAATTTGAAGTAAAAACTACTGATTTAATTAGACAAATGTAGTTAAACAATTAAATGAATCATTATGAAATTATTTAATGAAATACCTTGGATTTGGTAATATTATAAACAGATTTATTCATATCTTTTTGACTTTTTATTATTTTTTTTTCTATTTTACAATTTGAAAACATATTTCAAAAACATTGCAATTGCCTTACCCATAAAGAAAAAGAAAATATTAACTGCATATATATAAACAGGAATCCACATAAATAAATATAAGCTCTTACGAATACATTTTTTGTACACTGGTAAACTGAAAGAGGAGAGGTAGAGGATAGGAAATAAGCAGATCTTTATAGACAACACAGGTAAAAATCACCTTATATACATGCAAGTAAGGTTATGTCAGCCAGAGAACTGATAACAGCGTCCCAGGCATGCACAGTAGATGTTCATGTTTGTGTATGACAGCTAATGACCTTTCTAAAGATAGCAAAAATAGCATTTTCCCTAAAGTAATTTATCCATTCTTTTGCCAAATGAATTTCCAGGGAAAACCATGAATGTATTATAGTCTTCTTAGCAACAGTTAGTCCTGTGAAAATAATTTTCCTCTGAGCCAATCTGGTGTTTCCACTAAGAATGGAATCATGATTGAATAGAAGCAGGGGACGATGCATAGGAATGGGAAATCCTAAAATACTTTCAAGGCAACTATGCACCTTGGACCAAAGGCCACAGGGGGACACTCCCAGAAAATATGAAGAACACAGTGTCAAGGGCCCTACCATAAAGTCGAAAGAGTTGGATTATTTTTGAAATTTGAAGAGTGAAATCACTGGAAACAAAATGGAACTTTCTCCATGAAGCAGTGTAAGTGCAGCTCTTCCCTCTTCTTTCAAAAAGGAAATGATCTTTTTAGATGCCATAACCAACCATGACCAGCCACAGCCAAAGAAAACAACCTTGCTCTAGATGGAAAAAGGATGGAATTGGTTCGAGCCTTCTTTTGCATTTTTGAACCTTCTTTGCATTCATCTGCAACAGCTAACTGATGTCACACTAAAATGTTTGATGTGCTGCCACCGTGTGAAAACAAGAATAACCAAAATTTAATCTCAAGGCAAGAATAATATCTTATTTTTAATTTGGATACTGAGAACACACATTTAAAGGTATATAGTCACATTATATGACAGTTTTGACATAGCCCAGCGGCATATAAAGTTCCATACTGCTGTGGTATTATTGGTTGTTTCTGTGTTTTACACATTTTCTTTGCTCAATTTATTAGTAAATAAAGC